AAGTGGATAGAATTAGATGAAAAGTTTGGTGATGGATAGTTTAAGGATTAAATTACTCATAAAGGTCAATATAATAAGAAAGGTCAAAAAGTAGGTATTTGGATAGAAATGAATATAAAGGAGAATAAAAAAAGAGGAGAAAAGAAATATGATAATTGAAAGATTAGAAAATGAGATATATATATAAAGATGTATTCAAGTGTTATTTTTGCAATTATTCTTTTGCATATAAATTAGTAAATTAGTATTTAATTTTTGAAATCACAAAATATAACTTTATTTTATTTAAATTTTTTAGTACATTTTTCTTCTGCATATATAATAAGTTAAGTTAAACAATATCTTTTGTTTTTTATTTTATTTTGTTTTTAATATAATTCCTAACGTAAAAATTGAAATAGAAATGAGGTTTTATACTTATGCTTATAATTCTACTCTCTACAAATTGATGTATGATTTTTTATATATAATAATAATATTTTATATAGTTGTAATGTCTTCTATATCGGCCTGCTTTAGGTCAAGTAAAAAACTAAAAACCCAATAATTAAAATATTATTTACATTAAGTTACTTAATATTATAGATATGGGGAATCAATAAAAAAAAATGATAAAATTCTCCTTAACTTTCGGATTTTTATGTTTTAAGTCTTAAAATATTTAATATAAAAAGTACTAGATAAAAGTGAATAGTTGATTTCTGTCATAAGAATAAATATTGAAGCTTATTTTTAACTCTTTGTTGATAAAAGAGATTTCTAATGTTTACATTCATATTTAATCAAAATAGATAATATCTAAAATATTTATGATTGTGCTATAATATTATATTAATTCATCATCTTATTTTGTTACATAGATAATCTAAATATAATTTGTTTTACATTTATTGTATTTAGATTATTATTTTTATCTATCATTTACATCATTTGAGTCAGTTTGATGAAAAGAAATTAAACTTATCATTTCACTATTTATTCATCTATTATTGACCATTTTAATATTTTATACATTCAGATTTTCTTTAAATATAAACTAATATGATGTTAAATTAAACTTTTTGACTCAATGAAAATAAATTTTAATTTTCCTTAAATCTTGACTCGAAATTATTTTATAATACGATTAAAGTTGCTCTCATTAATGTAATCTTTAAAAACTGAAACAAAAAAATTATAGAATAGAAGTTTTTTCTAATTCTTATTCAAATATCATTATTTATTAATGATTGAATGCTTTCATATAATATAAACATAATTTATTTCTCTTTTATCTTAATTTTTCTCTTTTAAAGATGTTTTAAATTAATTTAAATAATTTATTTAAAATTCCTAATCCTCTCAATTTTAAGCAATAACACCAAGAATGATAAGTAGTATATTCTTAATCAGAATTTGAATAGAAGTATCAAAAATGAATTTATTTTTATAATTATGAACTTTAAATTGATTATGATTTATA